AGAATTATATTTTTTTTATTCAGTGGCGGAAACGGGCTTCCATAGATGACTGTACGTACAAAACAAACAGTAAAAAACAGTACGTACAAAACATACAAAATACCAATCAATAATAAACTACTTGAGGATTAATAGATAAAACATCACAGAAAAAAACAATATACTATAAAAATTCTTAAGAAAAGGACAGAAGAAAAAAGAAAAAAAAAGGCACACAAATAGAAATACAAGTATACTAGGGAAAAAATCTTAAACATGGCACAAATTCTAGATGTTTTTATAGCTTTCTTGTTAACAGACGTTGAAATTGTATTTAAATACAACTTCAGTTCTTGTCTGAAGATAGCAGAAATAGACCTGCTATATCGACATGTTCAGTTCTGGAGTTCAACATCTGGAAAACATCCTGCCTGAGAGAATAAACAATGGACTGCAATTCAGTTCATGAAGTTTTTTTAGTTTTTTTGTGGTATATCATTACGTATTCTGGCACGTATTTGTTTGAACAAGCGTTTTTTGTGGAATTGCTCATTTTGACATGCATTTTTCTCTAAACTTGTTTAAACCAAACAAACCTGAATAAAAAGTGTTTGTTGTGTTTCAGGTGTGCTTTGCCATACAGATGCAGTGAAATCAGTATCAGTGATGAAGGGAAGTTCTGTCACTCTAAACACTGATGATAAAGTACAGAAAGATGATCAGATACTGTGGCTGTATAAAGCTGACAATCCATACACTATTATAGCTGAAATCAACAGACAGAACATCTATATAGATGCCACTAATACAACATTTGAGAAAAGACTCCAGATAGACAGTCGAACTGGATCTCTGACCATCAGAAACATCAGACCTGAACACTCTGGACTTTATAAACTACAGATCATCAGAAACAGAATATTCTCACACAAGAGTTTCACAGTTGCTGTTTATGGTGAGTAAGATTAAATGTCTAGTCAAAAACTAAGGTGGTGTTAATATCACTTTTTAAAAGTTACTGTAAATTAAAAAATAACACTGAAATAATAGTAGAGTCGTCAAGTTGTTTGTTTCATTTTTAGAGTAACGTTTTAATTTTACATTCTTTCTCTCACATTTCTAGCTCCTGTTCCCATTCCTGTCATCAGCAGAAACACGTCAAACTGTTCTTCACCATCTGAAAGATCAAGTCAGAATTGTTCATTGGTGTGTTCAGTGTTGAATGTGAGTCATGTGACTCTCTCCTGGTACAAAGGAAACAGTTTATTGTCCAGCATCAGTGTGTCTGATCTCAGCATCAGTCTCTCTCTACCTCTGGAGGTGGAATATCAGGATAAAAACAGCTACAGCTGTGTGCTCAACAATCCCATCAGCAACCAGACTCAACATCTGGACATCAGTGGACTCTGTCACAGATGTAAAGGTATGTCAGCTGTGATATTTATGACTATTATTTACTGAGCTGCTCAGTAGTTTTTGTTGTTAAGGATTGTCAGTACTGCAGGGTAACAACTGTTGTGCTGGTTTACCTTTAAGATCTTTAAACTAAAGATTGTGTTTAAATGTGTAACCTCAAGTGTCTTTTCATGTAGATTAACCGTCTTTGTCACTTAAGCATGAACAGATTTGAGTTTGTTTTGTATTTTGTCTTTTCTGTTATCACATCAAATGTCTTCAGTTTACACTTTCTGTGACTTCGGTGGTTTTTATAGAGATTAACAGCATTCTACAATGTCTTGACTGAAGTTGCAGGATTCATTTACATGTATTTCTCATTACAGATGTCCTTCAGAAGTCACATCTTATTCCACTGATATCAGCTGGCTTATTAATACTGGTCTTGGCTGTAGTTGTAGGGTTGGTATTCTTTCACCGCTGGAACTGCAAACAAGCAATACCAGAAGGCAAGTGTTACCTTTTTCATTCAATGATCCCATCAGCAACCAGACCAAACATCTGGACACCAGTCGTCTCAGTCACACGTGTACGTTAGCAGTGACATTAATAATTATATACTGAATTGTGTTACTCTTAAATGTATTTTAAAGGTCAACTTACATTGTCCCTGATTTTGGTTTGTTTTGTATTTTGTCTTTTCTTTTACCAACACATCAAATGTCTTCTACACTGTTTGTGACTTCATGATGACAGTTTATTTGGAGATCAACAGCATTCTACAATGTCTTTTAGGACTCAGTTACTGCACATGTATTACTGTAGATGTCATTCAGCTGTCACAACTTATTCCACTGAAACTAGCTGGTGTAGTGAGATTACTGGTCATGGCTTTAGCTGTGGGAGTGATATACTTTCACCACAGGATCGGCAAACAAGCGAGATCAGAGGGCAAGTATTTCAATAAATGATATGAGACTTTCTGGGACAAAATCAAGTGTTATAAAGATGTGCTGGAATGAATGTATCAGAATCTGAATCTATTTTATTAGTATTAAATCTGAGCATTAGTATTAAAACTTCAGACTTGTGAGGAAGAGACTCATTACAGTTTAACATTTTGTGTTTACACTATGATACACTGTATGTATGTAGTAGATAATGCATCTGCGGAAACCACAGGAGCTTAGAGAAAAAAACTTCTTGTTTCCTCATGGTTCATACTGATTTGTTTATTCATGATGTGGCATTATTAGACAAATAATGCACTTAGTACAATAATTCTGATTAATCCTGATTGTTTAGGCCACCTGTTCAAACAGATCAGTAAGTAAATTCACATTTATTTACAACATAAACTACATTTTTAAAACTGTATGAAAACATATGGTACAGTTACAAGTCATTTAAAGGGGTCATATGATGCTATTTTAAAGATCATTATTTTGTGTATTTGGTGTAACAGAATATGTTGACATGCTTTAATGTTCAAAAAACACATTATTTTTCAAATACTGTACATTATTGTAGGTCCTCTATGCCCCGCCTCTCTCAAATGCATCGTTTTCAACAAAGCCCCCTCCTTTGACAAGCGCAGTCTGCTCTGATTGGCCAGCTGACCCAGAGTCGGAATTGGCCCCCTTTTTTTTTTTTTAGAAATAGCCTTTGTGCACAGCCAGCCTTGTACTCTTCTAGGTTCAAAAAGCTGTCCTCCATAAAATGCGTTGCACAAATTTGAACATCTGGGTTGTGATGTTCTATTGTAAATAAATCTTAACCAATGATTCCTAATTGCATCTACTTCCGGAAGGCCAAATAAAGTGCTTTTGCTTTCGCACTGAAACACACAGCGTCTCCCTGACATGACTGCATCAACACTACTGCTGTTCCTGAAACCACGCCTTCTTTCTTTGCATGAACATTTGGGCTGCAATATGCTAATCTTCCCACATAGTGATGTAGATATGTGGGGGCGTGTTAGAACGAGCCGTTTTAGATAGCCGTGGTTGACTCTTAACTTTTATAAAGAATATCTCTTTGGATTTGAGACTTTAGTCTTTGCAACTTTACAGATCTTCTTTATGCACCAAAAGCTTGTAACACTCCAAAGAGAAAGGAAAACTTGAAATCGCATCATACTTCAAACACTGTATATTGGTGTGCTATCCACTAGTGGCAGTACATCCTGTTTTGATGTCAAAGGAAATAGCATAGGAACGCATATTGCTTTATTTTAGTCATTATAAATGATGATCATATCATGAGGTATGTGTAATGCTTAAATACGCTCAAAATCTTCTCACACTGATCCAAGTGTTTGTGTTTGTAGATCTGACATCAGAACAGAAAATCATGTCAGAATATACACACATAGGCTATTGTGTTCAGATGGGAGATCTGCCACAGGTCAGTAAACAGTTCATCTGAACATGACTGATCATTCTCTTTCTTTCTTTCTTTCTTTCCTTATATATAACAGTTATTCATTCAGAACTACACTGGTTCTGTTGAATGATTTTGACTGACTGAGAAGAGCCGCTAATAGGAGTCATTCTTTCGGGAATCGGATCACATTGGTTGTGCTGAATGTTTTTGTTTTTGATTCACTGAAAACAACGCCTCATAGGAATAATTCCTTCAGGAGTCGGACAACACCGGTGCATTGTATTTTTTTTTATTTACAGAAAAGAACAGAATCATACGAGTCCTTCGTTCGGGAATCAGATTGCACTGGTTTCGCTGAATGGTTTTGATTCACTGAAAAGAACTGTAGCATTTGGACCAATCAGACACACAACTTTTTGTTATATTTAACAAATAATATCTAACTCCCCCTCACCTAACCAAATGGCCAATTACGAGGGTCTATGGACCCTTCCCCCGAAATGCACCTAACACCTCAGAAAGGCAGAACAGGCCTCTGGTTCCATGGTAACCAATGCTGATATCACTGGTTTTATGGCCTAAAGGAATGCGGGCAGATAAACTCCCTCATTTTCCTCATAAGAAAGACACATAATGCCCAGAGAAATGGACTGTTCTCTAATTAATTCATAGGAAAACCTTTCTTTGATTGAATACACATATCCTTCAGGACATTGTGTATACCATTACTGTTCTTGCATATTGTCTGTTGTAGTGACCGGCTTGGAAGAATCATTCACATGCTGAGTGCACTGGTCCCGCTGTGGATTCAGTAGTTGAGTTGCGACGCCGTTGAACAAAATGATTGCGGGTTACTCGGGAGACTGTCACAAACTAGTCATCCATTCTGAATCCGGTTCTCGGTTTTAGACACACTATATTTTTACAGTAGCCTTTAGTTACTGATTAGTTTGTGAAATGTGTGTTTCTCTCTGTCTCTACAGAAATCACTGTTGGATGTGGGCAGAACCGAGACAGCTGTGAAATATCAACACTCAAAACTCAAAAGGCAGATTTCAGGAGAATATCACGCTCCTGTGTAGGAGTTACTGAATTAAATTCAATTTTGTATTATATACTTAATAATATATACATGTTAATTTGTATTAATGGGCCTACATATTAAATGTTGACTGTTATTGCAAAATACTTTTTTATCTGTTACCTAAAAAGATTTGCAGCAGTCTTTTACTTTTTCACTTGGATGTCTAATAAAGCAAATTTCATCTTGTGCATCCATGTAATGTTTAGAGTTAAACAAACATCACCAGAGGGGGCTAGACAGTATTTAAAGCATCTTATATACAACATACCAATTATTTCCGTAATGGGCCTATGATAAATTTATGTGATTATCAAAGACATCCAACTTGTGCATATTCATATAGAAAAATAATTAAAACCACGCTGATGGACGCAAGTATGAACCTGTATGAACGCCCCTAATGGTCTTCAGAGAGTTATGCTTCATTCACTGCCTTCACAAAAAGACTATTGTACTTCATTGTTTTTATGCTGCAGTTTCACATTATATAAAGCAGATGTTGTGTGTAGTTGCAGAGAAATAACAGCCCCCCATCACACCATTTGTTTGTGCAGCCGTATAAAGATCATTTAGTGCAGATGTCATCCACTGTGACCATTGCGCCACCTTGCAGCTACTTGTTGCTGAGAGGAAAAACCAAACATCAGATGTCAGTTTCCGCTCTTCTGTAATTAAGGTCGACGCATTGCTCTAAGCTGCCATTATACTGTAGGAAATCCAAACAAAGACTGGGCATTTTCAGAGTGTTGACAGGAAGTGACTTGTGGTTAAAAGTGAGTCTGTCACATGTAGTTATGTGACATTATGAAACAGTAATCAAGAGTTTATCATTTTTTACTCTGGAATAAGGCTCATATTAAAGACTAAAGCTCAAGACAAAAATAATTAAGATTAAAATTGTAAGAAGCTTTCTGTATGTTTATTTTATGGAAAGAAATAAAGTCAGCATTAGTGAACCACAGAAATTGAACCATTTTTGCAGATTAGGTCCAATAAATTGACTTTTTAGGAGTACGTTTTGAGTGATATATAGTATGCTGTTTCAAAAGATCAAGGGGAAATTAGATTTTTCATAATTTGACCACTTTAATATTCACACCAATTATAAATTCAGGCTTTAGTGTTGCAGAAAATGAAAAAACAAAATGGTATAAAACAATAAAAGTAAATGCAAAGTATTACAGATATATATATATATATATATATTTATTTATTTATCTAGTCATTTATCAGACGCTTTTATCCAAAGCGACTTACAAATGAGGACAACAGAAGCAATCAATTGTAGTATTAAAACAACTAAAAACAGATCCAAAACGAAAAGCTAAAACTTTATAAATACTACCTATACACATTTTAAAAATAAAGAGATTAAATAAAAATGACAAATGCATACAACAAAATTTCAAAACTTAACATT